TTAACGGCTCTTCCTTGTATTTGTTACTAATTAGCTGGGCATCTGCAGAACAAAACAGCTTACTGTTCCGGCGCTAGAAGGTTCTCTCAATCTCCATTTATTTTTAGAAACCTTGTTATGTACCGCTTAACTGTACTAGTCACGTAGGTAATTTTCTGTAGTAGAGTTCTTAGGGCATCTCAGGTCACTTTAATTTAATTTAGAAGTCGTGATATTTGTTTCACATTTGAGAGGTATAAGGTGGTACTTTGTGCAAAGAACGTGAAGTAATTGAAATTGTTCTAACGTCTCTTGAACTTCACCCATTTGGTTCTTGAGAGAGCAAATTCCGCTTGAATTCCAAATCCGGAGAGGCGTGAAAATATAACAAATCCCTCTGCTCAAAGATGTGCAAATAAAATTTTATGATTTCCTCTGCCTTTGGACAAGTGACTCATACCATTTCCCGCTTAAAGCGATTTTCTTCTTTCATTTATAAAGTACTTAAGTAAATAAATGCTCCCTATTCAAACGACAATTCAGCCGAAATGGCTATATCGAGTGGAGTTTACTCTAAGCCGCGTCAGTGCGAAGCGAGCATCACAAATTTAGCAAGGAAGCTTTTGCAACTACAGGCAATTTCGTCACTTGCAGTTCACCTGTGTGAATTATTTCCTTATTTGTACATGTTTTGTTCCTAGTCTTTCCGGTGCGAATGCAGAGAATAGTCCTATCTATGACGTTTCAGGATTTTCTTGAATGAGATTTGCCTGGATTAGTCAACCGAAGATATTGCTTCCGAAAACAATCAATCACCGTGATGCATGCAATGAGAGTTGTTATAAAATAATCCGGTTCTGTGGATCGTGGGAAAGGAAAAAACATGCTTTGGCGGAAATCGCCGAAGGTGTGTTAACCTCAATTGACTACTGCACCCACTCAGTCAATATTAAGGTCATTCTCGTAATGATATGAGTTTCAACGAATTTTTGTTCTCCTGCCAGCTTTAGTATCTCGAAGATTCTTTGTATCAAATGTTAGCTTAGATCGGACTTGCTCTGTTGCGGTTTAATGATTGATATGCTAATTGATCAATAATCCTATTGACGGCTACATCTTTCTTTTCTTTTCTTTTCTTTTTTTCGGTCTTTTTTTATTTTTTGTTTTGCCCTGTTTTTTTAAGGTTTTTTTTTGGTTGGTTTCCGTTTTTTGTAATCTTATTTATTTCTTGGTTTAGCTATATAATTACATATTTATTTATCTATACTTTTAATCCTCTATCTAAGAATATAAATTTAATTATTTAGCCTTCTACCTCTTGATTTATTTATCTGCTATTTCAACTTATTTGTCGGTGATTTTCTTTCTCACGGCTCTTTCAAGTTCCGAGGACCGAAGAGAAACATAAATTTATTTGATGACAGCCAAATAAAAATTTTAAGAGCGCTGATTGAGAAAAGGATGCAGAAACCATTTCGTGTCTGTCGGCACTGTAAGAGGAAAGCTTCTCTGGAAGGCTAAAGACATTCTTAAAGCCATCGTTTTAAATTGCATCCCTTCATCTTGCAGCTATGACTCAAACAGAATCATGTCCAACTGTGATACAGAAATTTGGTTGGGCTCTTTTTGACAATTACATTTGAAAAACATGAGCCTATCAAAGAGGAGCTTGGTCGACCGAGCATAACTTCATAGAGTGTACGGTACACTCACGATTTACGTATACGGTGTAATAAAACCCTCCATATTTCCTTACCGGTCAATAAGGTTAATAGTATTACTGACGAACTTGAAAAAATAGTAAATAACCAAGCTCGCAATGACTCCGCAGTTTTATAACTTCTTTCTTAAAGCTTTTCGTTGGAAAGCCTTTCTGTAGGAACTCCTTTGCCAAGGTAGGTTTTTTCATAAAAAAAAAAATTTTCTTAAGCCTTTGGCTTCAATGAATTCAAACTTTGTTCTGAGGTAAATTACTGATATAAGCCTCTAAATTCTCTTCCAATCCTTGTCCAAACTGTATTGTGGCCATGTTTTGTGAATGAGCACTTAAAACAAAAAATTTTAAGTGGGCATTGTAAAATGGTAGTAAAGTTTCCGCAAGATGAATGATTTTAGCATATCAAAAATTAAAATAACCAGGTGTTCAACCTTTCCGATTAGCTATGATCTAATTTGTTGGTTCTATCCAAGTTAGACGCGGCCAAGCTAATTGTCTGAGAATCATTCAGGAGTAGACATGTTTTCTTTCATGACAAAATATTCTTTCCAATTTAGAGCACGAGGTTGGCCATTTATTACACAAGTCGTAGTGAATTTAATAGATGGTTTCTCCTAAGTGCTTAAATTCATTACCGAACGTAGTCTAAAGTTTCAGAGGACCGTTCGCTTTATGAGATGTAAGCAACTCATTAACGTCTTGGGTAATTACTGAATGCTTTTCTACTGCATTACAAGCCCTCCCTTGCCTAATTCTTTTTATCAAAACATTACATTGTGACAAAAGATAAAAATCCTAATACTGATAGGAATTGCGTGAATGGGATTATGAACCGCTTAGAAGTGTTGTTTATTTGAGAAGTTAATTCTTGCAAGGCTTGCGATGATAATGCAACAATTTGATGACAAACAGCGCTGAAAGATATCTTCAGACGGGAAAGTCCTTCAAAGACTCTAGCAAGACTGGGCATTTACAATGACCCCGTGAACCACACAATGGGACTAATTTGATTACCGCACGAGAATCTTTTATGCTTCGATCCTTCACTGGTTTGACGCACATATACCTCTCACATCTCTTTACCCCTTCAATCAAGCGCATGCGCAGAACTGACATCCATTTAATTTGATTTTTTTCCAGCCATTCTAAAAAAGTATCTCTTTTGAAATGGATTTTTGTAGAAGTGGAATTGCTGTAAAACAATTGAATGCAATGCTGCGAGTATCAGATAAAATGGCTTTACTTAGCAGCATACACTTTCGGTTATCGGATCTTTGGTATAGGTATACATATTCTTCATTGCAGCCTGCAGCCTTTAAATAAAAAATTAAATCGATTAAAACATATATATATATATATATATATATATATATATATTATGAGAGGAAAAAAAGGACGTAACTACATTTCCCGACAAGCCTGTTTCGTGAATCGCTTCACTCTTCAGGGGTTTAATGAGTGAAGCGATTCACGAAACAGGCTTGTCGGGAAATGTAGTTACGTCCTTTTTTCCTCTCATAATATTTATTCTGCTCTGCTTCAACGTATTGAGCACTGTTCCACGCGAAAATCGACTTGCAGACTTCCTATATATATATATATATATATATATATATATATATATATATATATATATATATATATATATATATATATATATATATATATATATATATATATATAATGAGAGATACCACTTCCTGCATCTTTTCTGTGCTGGTTAGCATAGTCCACGCGAAGAGTAGGGAATGCAAGCTCCAGTTGTTGTGGTTTGGCTTTGTTATTGTTTACACAGGCCTCCATTTAAACCGGCTTTGAAACTGAACAAGGCCCGTCTGTCTTAATATCGCAAATAGATGAACAAAAAATTGTAAGCATGTTCGGATGGCTTTGAGAACTTTATTTTCAGCTCAAAATCATGTTACTTATTTCCTATACACTCAGTAGTTTTCAGGTATGGAGAAGGACCTTTTATTCAACACGAACAAGGCCTCAAGGGACTAATTATTTATTCTTTTCCCTTTTTTTTTAATGCATTTAGAAAACTTAGGTATCTCTGAAACGAAATGCTGAAGAGGAGGGTTCCAATGGGGTTAACCGTTAGCCGTGAAATGGCGCAAAAATTTAGCTGATAGATGTAAAAAAAGTTAACCACAAAAACAATATCTCTGGTGATCATATTGGAAAGATATTAAACGTTAGCCGTAAATTGTAACCGGTTAAGACCCTCAAAGAAATATTTTTTCATATTTCTTTAGTTTAAGGTCCCAAAAGTGAAATTGATCCAGTTTTTCATTTCATCGATGAATCGAAAAAGCCTGAAATGAAATTTAAAACTTTCGTCGAGCAGAAGAACCTCACAACGATGGTTGTTCATATCCTCACTGACAATTAGAAAACTACTTTTGGGGAGCAATACGTGATACTCGGATGTTAAGCTCTACAATCTTTCATTTGATACATGTATGAGTAGGTTTGGGTTCCCCTCGCTCAATTCTTCCAGAAGCTCATGGCCCGAGAAAGGGTCGAAATGAAAGGATAATATTCCACCCATTTGAAATATCTAGAAAACTCTCCCTACAAGTTATTTTCTAACCATCGCCATACGTGAGTAAATTGAATTCTTTTTTGGGGGGCGATACTCTTATTCCAACGTCAACGGAAAAATTAAATGATTAAGGGATCAATGTATCTTATCGGCTTCGTCTCGTCACGTCGATTGCTGTTGTTAATTGCTTGCTTGAAAGCGAAAAAAAAACAACAGCTGAAAAAATGATAGGTGACGCGGTCATCGTGATGATATGTTATATTTGACAAAAGAAAACTCGATCCCTTTGGAAGGCCAGATAAGAAAAAAAAATCATCAAAAGGGCGGCTTGAAACGACTGAACTAAAGATTTCCATACTTAGCGGCTACACAATAATTAGTTGATTCTTATCAACGAAAACCATCCTCTTAAAGATCTGACCTCTAACGACCTCATCAACGATCGACTTATTTCATCGAGAATAACTTACTCACAATGCACGCAAATTAACTGCAATTATATTCTTCAATTACCGCATGCCAAAGCGGCGTTCTTCTCTCAGTGGCTTCTGAGAGAAGCAGATCTTGACTCGGTTTTTCTAAACCGCAAAGTGGAATGTTATTCCAAGAGCTGTTCATTCGTTGACAAGATAGACACTCTTGGTTAAGTCTTTGTATTTGAGTTGGCGATTAATTTTCAAGCTGCGACCCTCCAAGGAGGGTCAGAGAAACGATCCAAAAAGTATGTTTTACATAAATGTTAGCGCATGAAAACAAACAAACATGTTCAGGCTAATTTAGCACCCATCGGCACGCGCGGGACCGGTCACTCAATTGACATTTATTTCCTTTCGGTCCAAGCCCTTTCTTCTATAAATAAGCATGAGAAGGAGGTGGACTCAGTCGTTCTACTAGGCGGCAACGAAGAGCGTACCAAAAGATCCGGACATCCTAAGCCCTTAAAACTGTAAGTACCCTTTCCTTGTTTTTGCATTTAGGCGAAGTGACTTTCAAAGAACCGGCATCTTCTCTGTGAGCTTATCATAAATCTGTTTGCTTGAAACCGTTGAAAACTTAGGAAACTTGTCCAAGTTGCATTTACTTTACTTTAAGTGAAGCTCAGAGCTTCTCCATTTCTTTATTAGAATCGCAATATGGTCAAGAGTCTGGACCTGGTCAGAAAAAAATTCCCGTAAATTGAAATAATGAAAATTGCAGGAGAGTGTCATCGTTGGCCTCTAATTCTCTGGAGTCTCTTTACGTTCTACTTCCTTCAACGTCGAGGAAAACTACTTTGTTAACTTAGAAAAAGACTGAAATGTCAAGGAAAAAAAGGAGAGAGGGAATCGTTACGAATTTAAAGAGAAGAAGGGTAAGCGGCGAACCTGAGTAATTTAGACTAGGCCACGATGATGTGCCTTTTCTAAAAAAGTCGTGATAAACCTTGATAGTCTCGAGAACAAACACATCTGACCTTTAGTATAAACTATGAAGAGCTATTTTAAGAAACAAAATAAATATTATTTTTCACTTCCACCCAGCAATGGTGCCAAAGCAGTGTCATTTAAACGGATAAAAATGCACCAACTTATACTACTCAGTTGTTCATGCACAGTGGAACGAGACATTAAAAAAGACAATTCGAGCTTGACACTTTTCTACGATGTGATACAGTTTTTTTCCACGTTTCCCAAGGTACGTTCAAGCCAAATTTTCGTCTTCAGCATCACTTTTTCCTTTGCCTCATCTCACGCCTCTTACCTCGTCGTTGAGCGAACCTATGTTACTGAGCGCAACGGTTTATTGGCTCATGGAAGTTTAAAACGAAGGCGATATTCTCAGAAAAGGGTGAAAATTTGATTACTTTAGTGTGTGAGTAATTTCAAAAGTTTCCCTATTTAAGTTGAGTGTAAACAAGAGAAAAAATGGGATTACGAAGCACGCTTTTGAAGACGTGCTTGGGACTTCAAACGGGGTACAAAAAGGGTGCATAGGTGTTTTCAGGGGTCAATAATTTTATGATGTCTCACTCAATTCCTCCGATTTATTAATATCCAAAAACGTGAAAAATGCCTTTGCTATGCGGACTTATTTTCATAATAACTCTTAATTAAGTCGCGGATGGGTTGGTCGTTAATGGTCGCATTGATCAATGTCTGTACCAGGATTTATCGAGTCATTGTATGTGGCTACTCGTAATTTTGAAATCAGGAACCCGTACGTGTTCTGGAAAATGTTTCCTTTTGCTAAGCTGGTGCTCTCGGCTAAACATCTCTTTGATCATTTGCATCATGGATATCAATTTTTTGTTTTTGAGTTTATTTCATTTGGAGTAGATCAGTTCTACATATCAGAACAAAGAGATATTGTGTGCACAAAAAAAAAGCAGATGATGTATTTAATGCACTTTGTGCAATGGACGTGTCAGTATTATATTGAGCTCATGGTGGGTCGTGTGAGGTCACTATGCTCGCGAGACTGTATAATCAGAATTTTTTATGGTCAAAGATCATTCATTTACTGAGAAAAAATTTCAAATTTCTGGAGGGGAGAGGACGGGGAAATGGGGTAATCAGCTGCTACAGGCATTTTTCTTTCAGATAAAAGATGATCACAGCGTGTTGTCTTATCAGAGAAATTAGCTTGTTTCTTGCTTCAGTGTGTGGAGTGCTTTTAGAGAAATTTACGAAACGATGATTTACATCATAAGGGTATTTAGAAACCTGATTTCGTGATTAATTTTTATTTTTCTATCATTGTTTGCATTCTTTAAGTTGTTATTTCAATAATTTGGATTACCCGTTGAACGTAGTACTTACGCTTTAGAAGGTTTGCGGCCTCTGTTGTTTTACCCTCCCTTTTACCACACAGAATTCAGCCACAGCTAAGTCGAATAAATTTGTATACAAAAAAAAACTTTTCCTTCTAAGGGATTTTTATCCCATCAAATGCGGCAACCGTGACCCAATTCAAATTAAGGAGGAAAAAAATGGGTGAAAATTGTTTTTAAAACGTTTGCATTCGATATCAGTGCGGTGGACATCTACTAGGTAAGGTAGATCTTTTTTCGTTGAACCGTTGAATAATTGCTTTCATAATTACTTACGGATCATGTCATATCAATCTTTCATTTGGCTAATTTTGCACGCCAGTTTAAGCTTGCTAAATTCGTCGGTTTGAGGAACTAATGCAAGGAAATGACTCAGACAATGAACAGAAAATTATTATTTTGGTCAAGAACATCTTTTGTGATGTTGATTTTAACCTGATAATAGAGATCGAATAAAGGATTTATAATTATCTTTATGTGTCGCCTTTTAAAAAAAAGCTATTAAAATAATTTGTTGTAAATATTGACCGAAGAATGAAGAGCACTACACTGGTTGACTTGCTAGTGCTCGGCTTGCTAGCGTTCTGAAGTGAGTTCCTCGGGAGAAAAAAACTGTCAACTGACAAACACAATGAGAAAAAGGATGATGGATGGCCAGAACAAATTCTTTCCGCCTCCATAACGAAGTTTACAATTCAAAGTCCTTGAGTACAAAGTAAAGATCATAAATAAACTTATCGAGGTGAATTAGAGCAGATTAAGTCTATGAAAGGTTAATAAAGGTCCGTTAGCTCCACTCGGTATCTAACAAAAGCCGTAAATATTTGCACAAATTTTAACTAAAAATAATTCATTATCATTACCATTACAAATGGAACAGATCCCTTCAATTCGGCTTTAAGGCAAATCAGTCTGAAGCATTTATACTACATCAAAAGTATCACTGAGATACCAAATCTGTTGTTGCAAAATAATGGTTGTCCTGAAAGAAATGGCGGACAGGTTATAGAAAAAAGATCCTATCACAGAACTCAATAGACCCTGGCTAAGTCTTATTACATTATGGAACGCTTTGTTTATAATCTCAAGAGTCTTAAATTTCTTTTATCCTGTGAGTATAAAGATTGCCAGCAAAACAAAGACTTTTCATACTTACTAATTCTATGAAAGGTTAAGATGTCATTCATAAAACTGGTCAGGTGCAGAGGGCAAAAAAACGTCTTTAACAGCATGAAAAAACAAAAAGTACAAATGGTGTTATCCTGTGAGGGAAAGAGTCTTCGCACGAGTTCCTTGTGAGTACAACGGTGTCTTTCTGGTGATTCTTTTTAATGACGTCCTGGGTAGATTTAAGGAAATTCGTGCCATTTTATTGGCATGCCGAACACCGTGGGAGGTCGTTTTCGGCGTAAGCAGTATTTTCCTATTTACTCCAGTGCCATACAACAACAACTTCAATAAGTCTCTTTACCCGGAGCGGTAAATCAAACAAAACTGATGTCGCTTTCTTTCAAAAGTAGGTGACATCGGTGGCGTTGCTGTTTTAAAGATCATCCGGTAAGTGAGTGTAGTGAACCGAATGGATACTTGTTTCGTAAAAACTAATTGATGTTTAGTAACAAGTGACCTCAGTAAAGCCGTAGGTTATTTTTGTGAAAAACAGGGCCCTTATATAACACTCTCATCTGCATGCTACCGCAGTGTACTTGTGATCTTTGTAATGCACGATTTTCGAGAACCTTGGACATACCTCTCCATCTTTATCACAAATGTGTTAGGAATCATTTTGTTGCTCGACTTTTCGACAGAGAATGCGCTTTTTAACTTATTCTTGCGTTAAAGACTGGCGCAGTTGTAGCTCAGTGTGATTAAAAGGCTCAAAAACAAAGCTGACTAGGAGGGGTCGTTAAAAATTTGGTTAGTCTAAATCGAGCACAATTATTTGTTCAGAGAAAGGAGTACAGGCTGGTGACGTGACATGCACGGAAGAAAGGTTTAAAGTAGCCGTGTTCATATTTGATTAGGGCTAACGTCCAAATCATCACATGATATGGTATAAGAGAGCAAAGTGCTGCAAGAGCCTAATAAAATATCTCATTGGTGCAGTGGAAACATAGATATTTCATGATGTAACTACGATTTCCATGCTATTTCATTTCATATATATTCGGCCAGAGCTTTCCATTCTGCATGCGCTATGTTCGCGTGTTACACAGCACAAACTAATTCATCAAAAGTTATAAATTATTAAATTTGTTAACAAAAACAGGAAGAAAACATCCAATATTTTTTTTTTTTTGCCTGAAGGGATCATTATTTTGCAATGAATATCGTTTGTGGTTTTATGTCCGCTAGACATCATTTTTCATTCGATTGTCGACAAGTTTGGACTTCAACCAGGAATTCAGCCCTAATTAATTGCATGTTTTGTGTTAAAATAGCTGTAAGCAATTGCTAAGTGTAATATCTTGTTTTCTAACGTCGATTTTAATGCGCCTTTCAAGTTGTGTCTCATATTTTCGATCTTGTTTGCTGTTATCTATTCTTAAAAAGTCATATCCATATCACTTTGTTACTGACTTGCTTTACCTGAATGGTTACTGCAAATTACTTTTATGTCCAGTGAAATGTGTTCTGACAAAGGTTGTCAAAATTTTTTGTCAAATGTGCCAACCCGAAGATTTATGATTTCTGATATTCCCGTCTCGCAGTAGGAAAAATACTGATGTTGACGACTAATAGAAGAAAAGTTAGGCTTCTACAGCTCTTTGAGAAGTGAGCACTCAAGCTTGAAAGAAAATTAAAATCAAATTAGCCGATTATGCATGCACAAAACTGGATAATCACTTGTCTCTTTTTGCAGAACTACTGGTGCTAAATGTATGTGAGTTACTTTGATTTTATACAAAAAGCTACGTTTTAAATGCTTGGATATCTGATATTTCACATTGAAATGACGATATGAGCGGTGTCTGGCTAAATTCCTATATTAGACGTGACATCTTTACTATTTTGTGCCCACGAGTTTCTAAAATTATTCCTTTATGGTATGATTCGGAACTACTCCAAAGTATCGAAGAAGTCTGTGTAACAATCGTAGGTATCGCATGGCAATAGCTGCGCTAAATAGATGAATTGTAAAAAGATAGTTGTAAGCTATCAGATCAAATAAAACCAAGATAGATTTAAACAGCACTTTAATCTTTGCGATGAAACAGGCCCGTAGTTTATCGCTCAAGGCATCTCACATTAATTCGTAATTACCGACATCTTAATAAACCGAGTATTTAATTTAATGAGAACAAAACGAGTTCTGCATTACTTTAGATTCTTTGATGAAAACATTTCTTTAAATTTTTTGTCCTCTTTTTCAGCTAAATATTTTGGATTTGTTTATAACTTGAAGCCAACTCCCGGGTTTCTCAAAGTCAGTTTGTGTACATAAGAAAAATTTACATCCATCTCATGAAGCTTGTTTGAATTCATTGTTCATTTGTTATACAACTCTGTTATCAATAACATTCTATTTTAATACTGCCATGATTCCCAGCTTTGATAACCATCCAGCTGAAAATTGACCTCTCATACTCATAATTAAACTATAGTCTTAACAGCTGAACGCTTTACTTTCAAGTTACTTTTGCACGTTAACCCGATCTAAACTGTAAAACTGATAGAAATCAGTATTTCCTACTTACTTTCAGCGTACTTTGCCTAACATTCCAGCTAGGAGAGTAATTAAGACAGCGACAGAAAATTGGGTATAAGCCGTTTGCCAAAATGTACCTTTTGTAAAAGATAAATCAAAATGCCATGCCAGAAATTTAATTTTGGATCGTGAGAACCACCCTGCAAATCAAATTTTAGTTAACAGTGCCAAGGGTTACAGTTGACTGATTATGCGTTTCATTTGAGCCTTGTATTTCATCAAATAATCTTTAATAATATATTAACGAGTTGTGACGTCAATAAAATTTGCCGCCTGACCTTGGTGTCCCTCTGTCGAATTGAGATCAATCAATCATTCTATTAAAAACAAGGGATAACGGTGATAAACAATATATTATGGTCGAGTCTCAAAATCTGTACTTATTCATGTCTGTATGCACGTTGTTCATGGCAGAATATCTGAGTTCGATTTGGTGAAGACTTCGACGGCAATCAGAGGGCCACTTTTGACGACTGATCCAATAAGTATGCTTAAACCTTGATGTTTCACTGATACCCTTTGGCTATACAAATCAATTAGCTTTCAATAGACCTCCTATAGTTCAGTAGAGATTGTGAATTACAAAAAGGGAACTAACTTACAAATGCGACTGGCCACACGGTGAGTCAAATCTTTAATAATCTCATGTCAAGTTATTATATCTTTTTTTAAGTTATTTAGCTCTAAAATGAAGAGAAAACTTACTTTATCCGTACTCCCGCCCTGCACTTACCTGCGATGGCGCTCGTCAGTGATAGAAATAATTCGACGAATGAGTACTGGCTCTTGACGTTCACCTTGTTACTGATCATGTCGCAATTCGCCATGTAGGTTGAAATCTGTCAAAAAAAAAGCTATAAAAGGTCGGCAAAGCCTTTGGAGGTAGTTTGTTCTCTATAATATTAACACTGCGTTCGCTAGTATAAATCATGTTCTTACTAGAGAAGGCAAGACCTGCTAAACAAATAAAAATACTTATTTCTGACCGCATGTTACACATCAGCGTTGAGAAACTGGGTAATCTGACAAAGCACGCTTTTTTTTTATTATTAAGTTGTTACCCATGAATGGTTATAGCAGACCCACTAATCTCTGAAAAGTAATCATTAATATTACAGTAAAAATTAGGCAATTTTATTATGATACGCGCGTTGAATCATGACAGGAACCACGTTACATAGGTCCTGGCTACATACAGTTCTGTTTGTCCTTGAGTATACCTGAATTTCTACCTAGTCAAAATTAGCTTGCCTAAAATCTAGCTTAAACTGCATTGCAGGTCTTACGGCCTTTTAAGGCTTTAGTGAAATCGAGTCCTCAACTCCTTCCCCAAACACTGTCGAATTGCGCACACTTTGCACAGACTTTATACCCTGGTGACATCACTGCTTTTACCAGCATTGTTAAAGGAGGGGGGCAGGCTCAGTGTATTTGCCTGAATTGGCAAAAAGTGGTCTTTTGTAGTAGGTTTGAATATAGGATATGTTTTGAATAACCTCCCCAAGGAGTTGAAACCTCCATTGTAACATATATGATTGTTTAGTTTGTTCCGTTCTCCCTGTCTAGATTTCAAATGGTAATATCAAGCCTCACTAAACTCAACGGTTTCTCTTATATAGATCGTGGTGCGTTAATATCCACTCCTTACTTTCAGCTCTGCTCACAATATATTATTTCTCACTCTATCAATGACATAAATCTATCTTTCTCGGTACGTAACCTTTGGCTACGACTAAGAATTGTTCTGATGAAGATACATTGCGGCTTATCTTCCTATCTATTATTACCCACGGATTCACCCAAGTTTTCTTGGTGCATAGAAAAGTAACTTTTTGGCATTGTCTGGCAAGTTTTATGGCATACTCACACTTTTCTTTGTTACACAGGTTGCCACTCTTACTTAATTCAAGAGACGATTTTCAAGGACTGAAAAATCTTTAAATCAACGATGAACATTAGCCAAATAAACTCAACGCTGGAAGTAAATTCAAGTCAGAACAACATTGCTACACCTTTCTACAATTTTGTGCCTGAGCCACAGTCTTCAAGGACAATTAGGTACGTAATATACTGCATAGTTTTTATATTCGCCATTGTCGGGAACGCCACCGTCTGCATCATTCCATTCCGTCACAGACGCATGCGCACGTGTACCTATTTTTTAATCACAAACCTGGCTGTCTCTGATATTGGAACAATGCTGTGTTTACCCTACATACTTGTCATGGAGTGGCAAAATGAGTGGAGCATGGGATCTGTTATGTGCAAGCTTGTCAACCCCAGCTTGACAATGTTCTACCTGGTCACCACCAACACTTTGGTTGCAATTGCAGTTCATCGCTTTGTGGTTGTAGTTTTTCCGTTCAAGTCTAAACCCGGAAAGAGTAGAGTAGCATTGATCATCTTGCTTATATGGCTGATAGCGTTTCTCTGCGTGTTACCTTCATTTGGTGCCAGACAACTTGTATTCAATGGAGTGAAGGACAACGGCAAAACAAGTTACACATGCGACGAAATATTCCCTGGAAAGACGAGAGAGGATCATGAGTTCTTCAGAAATATGTACACCATATTCCAATATGTCATCAACATCTTCTTGCCCATTGTTATCATAGTTATATTGTATATTGTAATTGCTTACAAACTTCGACAGATGTCATCAGCGCTTGGTTTTCGAAAGGACAGAAGAGACAGTCAAGGGTCTACATCATACCACAGTGTGGTATCCAGAAAGAAAAGCATAGACGACTTTTCTTTACGGAAAAGAAATGAGCTCGAGAGAAAGTTTTTGCGGATGCTCGCCGTTGTTGTCATAGTTTTCGTTCTTTGTTATGTGCCTTACACGACTTTCTACCTTGTTGTGTCATACTATCCGATGGCAATGACCTGGAAGTATTTAGGAATCCTCTACCACTACATATACCTGCTTATGTGGTTTCCAAATGCGTTAAATCCGATTTGCTATGGTGCTTTAGATGACCGCTATGCCTCTATAGTAAGGTCTCTCTGTTGTATACGGAATAGAGCTCAACGATTTGCCAGCCGGCTTGCAAGCAATGGGGTCAACTCATCGGGAGGACGGTCCAACAGACCAGGACATTTGTTCAGCCGTTCCAACCAAACTTTGCCCCCCATAAAAGAGAAATCAAGAACACAAACCTCTAATAGAACTATCGAGGAGCATAAAAATGGAAATGGAAAAAATTGGAAAACGTGCTGCAGCTAGTGTGCATGATAAAACATGCATATCAAAAGAAGGCGGTATTCTTGCCTAGGAGAACGAATTGTTGTCTAGTTAAGTGGTCACGGCATTCAAACTCTCATTCCTATCTGTAGACCTAGAAACCAGGTTGAACGTTCGTAGCTGTTATCAGTAGAGAGAACCACTTAATCCAACATAAAAACTGTCTGGAGCGCGGGAAAATTAAACGCGAACGACCAAGTCGCGATTGGTTTGGTTTTGATTGGTTGAGAAAGTGACGGGAGTTTTTTTGGACCAATCACAACCATTGCAATAGAAGCTTACTTCCGACACTCAATCGAAATCGCTCCAATACCAGTTGGACTGGTGATTACTATAGTAATCATTTTGTCAACTTTTAGGCCTAACGGCTAAATGTTTTGGCCGTTTTACGGCTCTCTAGCCCAGAACCTGGACTGGTGATTAATAGTAATCACCAGTCCAACTGGTATTGGAGCGATTTCGATTACCGTTAGTAGAACCATTAGAACAGTGATCAAAGAAAAAAAAAACATAAGGAATCATTACATCACAGCTCTGGGCTAGAGAGCCGTAAAACGGCCAAAACATTTAGCCGTTAGGCCTAAAAGTTGACAAAATGTAACCTTGGTCTTAAAAAAAAATGATAATAACCTAAAAAACAAAAAATAAACGAAAGAAAGATCGTAACCGTTAGCCTTGACCTAAATTTTAGCCGTTAGCCGTAAAGGCCGTCATCTCATTGAGACCCTCTTTAATCTAAGGTTCTTTGAGACAGATGGAAATAGACTCAAGGTTAAAGATGAATTTCAATTAAGTGCAATAGGCTCAAATCTTTGGGGAAATTTTAATTTAGTTGGTGTTTAGCAAAGAGAACATCGAAGTGGCTTGGAAGGGCTCATTACATATTGAGAATTAGAATTTCACTTTACTATCGGCTTATTGGTTAAATGATATGTGCACTGGGCCTGGACTTTTTTTGCCACATGGCACGAATTGCAGAGAGGTTCTGGAGTTCTTTGAACTTTTTAGCCGTTTCTAGAATCATCCTTGATTAATATTTAACATGTTTATGATATGTACGTCTTTATAGTTAGATGTGAAAAAAATATGTTTGTACGCGTCAAAATCGTTGATGTAACATTTTTTAATGAATTTTGCGTACATGCATACGTAGATGCAAGGAGAATATAAACCATTTTACTTCTGATAAATTATATTAAATAAACAAATTGTAAACATGCGGGTTCGTTTACTGCTGTACTGAACTGAGAGAAGTGATATTTAAAGTGATTTAATTTAATAGTAAGTGTATTCCTAACCAGAAAAAATTAGTTTATTAAATAGTAAATTTCGTTCTTGTGAAAATCAAACTTTTTTTTAAAATTTCCTTCACTGACGTGCGTTTTCTACTTTACCCTTCCTGATAATACTGCTCATGAGTCAGGGTGATGTACAAAATCTAAGAATTAGTGATAGTTTGGTTCTTCGATCATTTCTACACTCGTTTTGTTGATGATACTGTACCAAGCATTTAAAGCAATGATTAATTTTGTCACGCAACGAGGGAATCTTTTATAATGGCTTCCTGTCGGATATCAATCGAGTATCGTACCTAGACCTTCCACAGCCAAGCAGTTCTAAGTTACAATTAAACTGAGATTAATATTTGTCCCTACCGCGGCGTAATATGAACCACGGAGGTTCTCTCGAGGACAACCCCCCCACCCCACCCCTATTGGAAAAAAGACATACTGTTATCATCCCTGGCTTCGTTTGATAAGTGAATTGCAAGCTAAAATCAGATAAATTTTCAGTTTAGATAAAAAACATTTTAAAATGGATTGGCTTCGACATAATGACGCGCCTAATGTCGTCAACACAAATCAGAACCCATGCAACTAGAGTGATAATTGATTGTATATGGTGCAGGAAAGCAGTTTTTTTATAAATTATTTGAGCCAGTTCCTGATAACTTTCATTGATGTTTTTCAAATCAACCACAAGTACATTTCTCCATCGAAACATCATCTCGTTTCAGTTGAAAGGAAAAATTAATTAGAATTATTCTTTTTCTAAGCGGAAACGCTTTAAAAAAACCCTTAAAACTTTCAGATCTGAATACCAATTTATCCAGCAGATAAAACTCGTCACTTAGCCAAAACGCCTTCTGGGCTGCACCGTATCTGTAAGATGTTCTGTAAAGACGTACATCACGACACTAATATGTGATAACGCATCGTAGCCAAGATTCTTGGCTTTTAAAATTGTTTACCATTTCAGCTTCGAAAACATCATAGTAGACTTCAACAGGAGTCATACAATCCTTTCAGAAAAAATTACAGACATAAATGGTGGAACAGTCAGTTCAGTGACCGGGATTTGTTGATTAAAGCTTCACGCGGTAGTTAGAGGTAAGTTTCCCCAGACGTCCGCACTGATGTGACGCGCTTTCACCCAAGAGAATCTCTTGGCTCACTATAAACAGAAGGAGGTTTTTTTAATATTTTTTAAGCCTCATTTAAGCCGATTTCCAATGATTTCAAAATTTCTGAGATCTTCGACTTCTAACCTTTGTTTTTATTGTTAGAACTGCAGTAACATACGAAGAGCGATTAATGCAAATTTCGGGTCAATGTTACCTCTAAAAAATTGAATAGGCCGTGAACGTCTCTCTCGGGGCTTTTACCGACCCAAGGCTACACGGACTGATTTGCCAGTTTTTTCTCGGCTTATCGATAAGAACGAATTTTATATATATATTTTTTTTTTCATGTCTGAGTGGGCTGCAAAGATTATGATTGCAATTTTATATATATATATATATAAAAAACGCTTTCCATCATAAACATGACATAATATTTATTAATAATTTCCGGTCTCAATTTGGCGTTAGAATTATAAAAAATCACTCAAAATGTAATATAGAAAAGACAGAGAAACTGTGTCATGATTACCGCTTAGGCTCTCTGTGCACTCCCAAGGTTTCTAAGTGTTTGGCATATTGTAGCCGTTCAGTAAGCGAAACGAAGCGCAATAACAAACGGGGACTGAGGTAGTTGCAAAGGAATGAAAAAACTAAGTAAGGTGCAGGTAATTTCTTTACGTGACCCGACCCGACCTAGACCTCGCTCGTTTTTCGTTCTACTGCAATATTAACTATCGCGCTGTTTGCTATTTCACACGGATTTCGCACTGTTTTACTTGTTGAACGTCTGGGACAGATTACTAAGTTGGCTGGCTCTCGATCATCCCACTGTCAAGCATGGGCAAACAAAGACTATGTCAAAGATACATGTCTTTGAAAGTTTCAGCTTCCAGATAATATTTAGACGCCACCTAACACCCCCCCCCCCCCCCCCCCCCCCCCCCCCCCCCCTTCACCCCCACCCAACACGGACTTGAGGTAGCTGTACCATTCTACCAAGCTTTTGAGACAGACAGCTTCATGTATTACACACTCACTCCTAAACAATTGAAAAAGTGCCTCTTTTTCTACTCATTCCTAGGCGCAAATCGATAGCCTGTAAGATCAGTGAAGCATATATATCCTAGCGCCCACGAGAAGTCTGGGAACGAGGTGCACGTGCACCTCAATTCCCGGGGACCGCTGTATCCAGAAACTCTTTCGCCTTGTCCTCGTTCGCGGTTCCCTTATCTGTTTGATATTCTCCAGTAATAGGGAATATAACACTGGCTATGCGGCTCACTACTTGGGTTTTTTAGAATAACTGTTAGTAGTCATATGTAAATCCTTGAGCAGTAACTTAACGAATTCAAATAAAGAAGAAAGGATTTGTCATTCAGGTTCAGTGTTTTTTTTTTTTATCTTTTTTTCCTTTTTTTTTCTGAAATATTTCCGTCGATGGCATTGCCTTAATTGTCTCTTCTGCACGATAATGTAAATGAAAATAAATGGTTTCTAAGCCTGGTGAAACATTCATCCATGTCTGTTTGTATGGTTTGTCATCCAACTTTGTTTCATCCGTTCATATTCTTTTCCTGTACACCTGCAGACGGAATCAGCTCACGCTTGGCAGTTCTTTATCAATCTTTTGTTCTTTTTCTCTTTTCTCGTTTTCTTTTCTTATCGCAAATATGTCTTACCTATGTCAAGTGCAGTTTGATGGTTTTGATAATCTTCCTAGACCATAATTTGTATCCTTGTCATTGTCTTTTGCAATTGAATTACCTTCGTGGGTGTTACTGTAGTCGTTCGGGGGAGGGGTGGTTTGGGGCGTCAGAACAAAATTGCAGTTGGTGTCGGCTAAATAATTAACTTGGATTAGGAAACGCATTTAATTTTTATTCATAATTCGCTTCTTGAAGTGAGTACTTTCAACACGAGCAAGTTGTAATTAATGGCAAAATTTCAAGTAAAATAACGGCCAAACCCCTTTCGATATTTTTCATTATCAGTAAGTGCTCAAAATGCTAACTTATGTACAACCTAAGTACGGGTATTAGCGGTGCATTAGTATAAGGCAGTATAGACAGGAGGACAATGAAAATTGATAGACACAAAGGGAACTACACACGGGCGGCTGATTAGACTCGATGTATTTCGTAATATTTTAAAAGTGGAAAGTGTGGTCAACAGTGTTTTAATTCCAAGTAACCATAACAGGGTTTTCTTATTGCATTTTATTGGCTAAGGCAAAGAGGGATTTATGAAAGACAGAGACATAGAGTTGGCTAATACAATTAAATTTGAGAGTTGCTGCGATGGAGAAAGTCATCGATAAGGTAAGTTGTGTATATTTTTTTGGTAAATTCGTTCCCCAAAACGCTTTGAGCGATTAAAAAATATTACTAAAGAGAGGAAAAAAGGTTTCTTCTCAACACGCGTCAACTTACAAGAAGGCTTTTAGCGAGCGACTTCAGTCGATCGATCTCAAAAGACTTGTGCAGTCGTGGCATGAAATGTAATGAAATAAATACTGATGAAAAATGAGTTTAAAATACTCGTTTGATTTTTCATCTGATAAGTGTTACATCCCCGAGGTGTTATCGATAATTTTCGTCTCAGCTGGGGTTTAAAAAGAGTTTATGTAAATTATCGTGAAGAAAAATGGTAACAACAAAAAGTCCTTTTCGCCGTGATAATAGAACTTGTTATGTATCTCCGAAATTATCATATGCCAAAAACTTTACAACAGATGCATTGTCAGGAGGAAGCAACCCTTTTCTTATTAAACTTCGATATTCTAAAGAAATAGATAAACAAAGATATTTCATTTTGGTTTTTGTAAGGACGCTTAAAGCGCGGCGACTGTTGTTTTCATTTCAGTTAGAAGCGCGTTAAAGGTCGTCATTGTGAAGGTACTTAACAACGTTCATACGGGAAAAATACGCGAGCCAGTGAACGTTATGCGATAGAAATCGTGTTTGTTGTCAAATCTTGAGCTTTGATACCACTGATCCGACTGAACAACTTGATCAGGTGATCAAATAAACAGCATTGCCACAGGAATCAAATAAACGCGAAGTTTTGTGATAATATATGAGATTGTATTGTGAAAGATGGTCTCAGTTTTCAAAAGTGTATTCAAGGCAACGCTTGAAAGAAGTAATTCTCTATCGCCTTGACATTTTCACGGGGAAATTGGGATGTTAATGGCAGAATCAATCATTCAGCGGTAATGGCATAGCCTCATTGCATTTCTTCATTTCAATTATAACGCGGAAAATGCGTTGGCCGGCTAACCTTTTATGTATTTTTTTTTCCTTTTTTTTTTTTTTCCTTGTTTTGCGTGCTTGTTTTTTGCGGGAAATTATGTCTCTCTGAGGAATTTCACAAAATGATATCGAAAGAAGGGAGAAAATTAAAGCAAAATAAAGCCAAAATTCTGCCAATCACAACTGTGAACGAATTAAATTTCAATAAAGGTATATTTTTAATTTCATACTTCACACCACTTTGTGAATGTGATCTACCATCGACTGACCGTCTAATTTACTCGCCACCAAGTGGTTATTAGCCTTGGAAAGGACGCCTGTCGAGAAAATGAAGCGCAGTTTCCTAGCGGCGTCTCATGTAGGCATCAAAAGTAGAGAATTGAAAAAAACCTCATCTCTACACTAAGCCTCTTGGATCATTTGTGCAAGAGAAGAGGAAAAATTAAACCAAAACACTTCGTTCACCGGCAAGCGACAGAAAAATTTAGCGCGAATTCTTGCAACCAATCACATGCGAGCACTCGCGACCTGTTCACCATATATGGAACAGTCGGGCTGTTGTGTTTTGAGAATTTAATTTGCATAGTCATAAACTTTGATCCAGTTTGTAATGCTCAGAAACGATGAAGCATACTAAATCGGCCCGAAAATTTACCACAGGCCGAGAATGGTCCTGCTCTTCCTTCATATGCTAGTTCCAGCTGTGTTGTCGCTGGCGAACATGTTTAAGAAACTAAGGAAAGGTGACAGAAGCGAAGCGATGCGATGCAGCATGCATTTGACAGCAGCCGCTCAGGTAAAAGTGGAGCTCGTGATTAGCAAATGCAAAGTAGCTTTAGCTGGGAACCTTATTTTAACACTGTAGCTTTTAGGTTGTCATCGCATCAGTATTTTAGAGACACGGAGATTTACATACACGCAAATTGCGTTTTAAACTACGGATTTTAAAACGCATTCGGCACGAACTATCTACCGCAGTGATACCGCCAAAAAAAATAAATGTCAGTTTGCCATTTTTCTGTATGAATACCTTTCATTTCAACGCTGTTATCTCTTTCTATGTGATTTAGGAAACTATTTATTGCCAGGCGAATGATACTCTCAGTGAACCCCTTTGTTTGTCTTATCTTATTTTTAGGATGTTCTTTCTTGCCTGACTTTAGCGATCGACATGAAGTCGTTGAAAGAAAGCGCTGAAAGAGCTCTCCATCTGCTCCTACCGCGAGTGGTAAGCTTAAGTTAATAACGTGCGCTCAGCTTCCCACCCGCAATATATAGTTTGTTTACGTTTTGTGGAAACCAACTATAGTTGCGGATTCATTAATTTTTTTTCTTTATCATAATATACACATTTTTTATTCCGTTCACGTTTTGCAAAATTTTACCAAGATATTTCCTCCGATCTTCCAAATTTTTCCACTTAAATTGCGGCGGCAACTTCTATTAGTTGTCATCGCAGAAATTAATGCCTGACCTGTTGGCAAAATGCACCTCACCGATGAGAGCTTTCTTTTGTTGTAAACATCTTTCTCTCCTAGTCACTAGTCATCCGTGACCCAGCGAAATTTGAAGCAACGAAGAGACGAAATTCAGTCATACTGTGAAATTTGTAAACCGGGACACTTCGCAACAATGCAAGCCGTCAATCTTTACGTCAAACATTTATCGCACATGAACTTCTGCACGCTGAACGTGTAATTTATGTAAACTTATATTGTATCCCAGTTTACGCCCCAAGGACTGCCGCAGAATTGCATTATTTTTAACTTAGGTCAAGCTAACTAAACGGTACTACAATATTTTCTTTGTACAACGATTTCGCGTTTTGCAAATGACAACCGCACTTCTTGGGAGGTAATTTGAGATGACAGTATTTATATTCTTAAGCAAGGACGTACACGCAAAATGTTAATTTACATCTGAAGGCGACAAAACAGCTTTCACTCAAATTTTCAAGTTTTGTTAGCCGTCGTCCGGTTCTTATATTTGCATTTTTGATGGCTTGAAATCGATTAGGCGAATCACTTTTAAAAGCACTTAAAGTAAATGTTTTTGCACTGTCGAGTACCGCCAACTTTTCTGCATTGCAGAAAGCATGCAGCTTTAAAACCTAAAAAACGAAAGAATCGATAAATCTGCACTATTTTGGCGCTAAATTTTGGTTGCATTTGTTAGGAGTTCTCAAACCTCTCAGTTTCCTTCCACAAAAGAACAGACAGTTCGCCCTGATCGGCGCCAAATATTAAGTTCTTCTCACTGTTTTGATTTTTGCAATAGCTCTGCTGAGCGAGATAAAAGGTTATTTGGCAATTTAACGAAATGACAACTAAAACTTGCCATGTTGTCTGTTAAGCTTACTGATTTTAATGTCGGCAAACTCTGTGTGTCCCTAAAAATATTTATTCGCCCACAGAAATAGTTTTCCAGTTCAGCACACGCGCCGTTCAACACAAACAGTGGTCGCGGGTCATGTTGGATTAAGCTACTTTATTTATTTTATGTGCCATAGCAATTTGGCAAATCAGGACAATTGAAAGTGCTTGTGAAAAAGGATTAAAGACTTTTAAAATCAAAAGAAGTCTTTGTCATCTTTTTTAATTGCCATTTGCAACAAATATCGCCAATATCTTTGATTTTTCGTCCACGCTTTCTTCCGTTAATTATTGATGCCAATTTAAGTGACAATACATAGTCCCAACGGTACGTTTCAAAGTTATGCAAAAATTGTACAAAAACTATTCAGCGATAGGTTTTTGTCTTGTTCTTGATTCAGATTTCATTATAAGTGACACTGAATAAACTCGATCTTCATGAAGCTTAAAATTCCCCCATCTAATTTTTTATATTGGTTTATTTAGAGAAATAAGAACTTTAATTGTTGCTTTGAAAAGGTTTTGAAAGGTTTGCATTACAGTTCAAGTTATATGCATATCTTTAACTACTTCTGAATTATTGTTGTTAAACTATATCTTTGAAAAGTTTTAATTCTTGAAGTAACAGAAAATGAAGTCGATCAGCCTTGAATTACTTTCAAGCTGCAAAATGTTAATATACAATTATAATATTTTTTATTTTGAATTATCATGAATGATGTTAATGAGGTAGTTGTCAAAGTGTAAGCAGGCTGTAAATAAACAACAGCTGCACCTCTATTGTACTAAGAATTTCATTTGGATACTTGACTTGGAAATTTGACCTTAGTCTCCTTGTGTTTGATCATTAAGGCTTAGGGTTCCTTAATCCATTCCCAAATGAAAGTGTTAACAACGAATCAAATTTTAAGGCTCGTGTTTTGAATGACTGTCAACAAACATTCTAAGGGCACTCTATACTGAGCGTAGATGGATACAACTTGGCTAATATCAATTTTTATACTGGTTTGTGGGAGAGAGGGTGGAGGCAAAAAGGGTTTGAACTGGGAGGACCTTGACAATGGGAGAATAATAATATAACATTGCTTTAATTACCCTGAAGTTGTCTTAAAAGGTTTCAATACCACGGATATCAACCCCTTGATGAAGTAACTCCTAATTCTTTCTCTCAAAAAAGAAAAAATATTCAAACTAAAATTGTTCAGTGACATGACTTGCTGGTTCTGTTGGTAACTGTTGTTAAAGAGAAACATTAGATACTTGATTATGTTGACAGGCAGATGTGCTGGTGTTTGTCTTGAGTTCTGTCTCCAATGAACTTGAAGCTCTTGGAAGATCTGGTATCAGTGTACCTAAGATACCACAAAGTGGAGTTGCCAGGTTTGTATTCAAAATTATTTATAAACACTCTGGCAGATTGATTAAGCAAAGAAACAATCCTGGCAAGACTGCAATTTAGCAATTCCAGAGAAGAAACCAAAAAAAATTCAGGCTTCGAAAGGATTCAAGTTCCTGCCTCCTAGATACTATTTTGAGCACCACCACTGCTGAACTTTATCAATTTGCCAAATGTTGGGAGCAAGGCAAATCTGTGAAGGTTGTCTCTTTAATTGATTTTCATCTGTATGTCAAAATAACTTTATTCCATTACAAGTGGTTACTGGTTGTTAACACATCAAGAATATTTAGTTTCTCATACAAAAGCAAACTAGATATTTTTTCAAACTTTTGTAAAATTATGGACATGAATGGACTCAAGTAAGTATCTCTCAGAAGGCACACAGAACAATTCCTTGGTTTGAGTTGACACCTTCAAAGAGGTAGAATTCAAATTAATCAATAAAATTATTGTTCAAAGTTTACAAAATGTCATGAGGGAGGGAACAATATGAAGCTATGAAAAGAATTCTGGAAGTGAAGTTAACTGATTTCTCAGATTTTTGCAGACTAAAAGTAATGATTTTGACTTTTGGTGTGAAGTTCAATAAAATGTCCTAATTCAGTTATCATAATCTGATGAAAAAACAATCAGTTTGGTTAAACGATGTTTAGAAAAGAAAAAAATTAAACTACAGCATATAAACACATGTATTGTTCACATCAAAACATTATGATTCTATGATTTCATCTCCAGGAAAGCCATTGATAGTAAGCAAAGAATAGTTTTATCCAGCATCAACAAAGATGATCCTTGTTTAGTATATTTACCATCAGCTGAAACACTTGGAAGTGATCAAAGAGGTTAGTAATTAAAAACCCTTTGGCATTTTTCACAGTCAAATTTGCTTTGTCCTTTTTTTTTTCTTTTTTGCAGATTTTGAAATTAAAGTATATTTCACATACATTTGGAATTCCCAGAGATCCAATGGCCAAAAATCACCCCTAAACATAGGCTTCCATACAATAAACCTTTAATGACAAGGACAATGGAAAAATGATGGTTTTAATTTTTTTATATTCAGTTTAATGTCCAGGAAAAATACACACGTGAACACCTCTGAGCCCTGTTTCACTTTCTTTTCCAGTGATTCTGTCACCACTGTACAAAGACAATACACTAGTAGCATTTTTGATGGTAAGTTTCCAGTGAGAAAAATTTTCCCACGATCAAGGTAAATTAGATAAACAACTTTATCTTTTGTACAAATAACATGTACTATTGAAGAAAATCGTTGGGCTGCTCTCACTTAAGAATAATTATTTTGAAATAAAGAGATGTGAACTGTTTTCTCTACATTTACATCTGGCAAATAAAGTTAGTGCACTCACCTTAGTAAAGTAGTATACATTTAGTTTTATAATTTTTTGAAAACACACATGAGGACACATGTATGGTAGTATGTGCAATGTATATTCTTCTGAAAACAGTGCCACCCAGGAAGTGAACAATGACTGAGATGAAGAGAGAACTGAAACAACAGTAATTTGCAGTGATGAATATTCTTTTGTCACTGCAGATTGTTTGTGGTGTAGGAGAGGATACTCTGTCCATACTAGATTACACAGAGCAGCAGGTTTGTTTTATTGGAGTAGCCTTGATTTTCATCAGGTGCCTGTTGAAGGTAACTGTGAGTTAACATATTAAAAAGCTTTTGGTCAGCCCTCTGATCACCTTCTGGTATAAAATATATAAAGCTTCATTGTTATTTTAGAGTCAATGCTTATTGCTCAACAATGCTTTTTTTTGACTTTCAGATACTTCAAAGTTATCATCATATAACAGAGAGGAGTAAATATTTTCATGAATTTGAAAGGCAGAAGACATTTTTAGATTTTTTTAGTAAGTACATATCCTAGTCATTAGAAAGTGACCTACATACTTGTAAATGTATGTACTGAATTTAATTCAATGTTTATTTACAACATTAAGTTTTGGTACTTCAAAAGTTACAAGCCACTTTTTAATCATTTTTCTCAATGCTACTTGTTTCATTTTCCTCCACAATTCCCCCTCCCTTTCCTCAAAAACAATATAAACAAAGCTTTATTTACCCTAGCTTGTACAACATGAGCTGCAAGCTTGCTTGTTTCTTGTAGCTGGCAGGCTTCTTGTTGTGTTGCACTTCCAGTGAGAATCCTAACTTGCAAGTGCATTACTATTTTAGTCCAAGAGAGAATATCTAAAATGACAACAGGGGATCTTAATTCCTTACACAGGGCCAAGGTAGACACTCTAGAAATGTCATTTGAATAATTTTAATGCAAACATAAAAGGCATGAAAAAAATACATTAAATTTTGTATGCTGTGCAACAACAACAACAACAAAATAAAAAACTCATTTCCATACTTAATTTCTCAGAAGCATAGCTGAAACCAGAAACATTTTCTTTACATACTTATTGCTTGATTGCCAAAGGTTTCATCATTGTAAATGTTGCTGTTAAATTTATAACATTTAGTTGATTCATATTCTCTGTTAAACAGGTAGGTCTTATGAAAAAGAAGTAGGACCTTTGTCAAGAAAAATAGGGGACTTTGTAAGTGTTATCGTAACTATCTGGTTTTACATTTAACATTAAATGTGATACTTTACTCATACACAAAGTTGAAATTGTGTATTATTCATAATATAATAGGTGTTAAAGGTAACGTGCCAGTATATGATACCAGAAAATTATGTTAACAGATTCTCTGTGTTCTGTCATTGCCATGAGTGGACGTTTGATCATTGTATGAGTCAAAGGTTATTGGAGAAAGTAATACAATTTTTTTATTCATAACCTTGCAGCTTCAATCACTGACTAATTCAGAGGGTAGTGCCATTCTGGTACTAGATAACACAGCTGGGGAACTTCACAACAAGGTACACTTTATAGAAATACCTGCTTATTTTAAAACTTCAATAAACAGTACCATTAATAAGATTAATTAGATTCCAAGTGGTACTTAACATGTGTACTGACTGCATAACTTGCAGTTCATGTTACAAGATGTGAATTTACCAGTGTATAGTCTATTGATACATAATCTGTGTAACCATACATTTACATCTATGAATAAAGGGGTTTAGAGTTTTAAAGGACTAAGGCTTGAAATGTCAGCTTTGAAACTGACTTTACAGTTGTCAATTTACATTATGACCTCAGTCGATAAAACCAAATTATTTTGTTATGCATTCATGTACATAGGCTAAGAGGTGCATAATGTATTGTATAGTGTAATTATGCTTGAAATTTGGGGTTGTGGCTTATACACAAGTTTTTGCAGCAATGAGACTAATTAGAGAGCAATGTCTCACAACGCGTTGAAAACTTAATATAGAGCTATAACAAGGTAGGTATTTGATCGCACTACTCCTCAGTCTTTGGTTATTACATGCAAGCGTGAAGTGCATGGATAAGATTATTGTAGATGGATGAAAATTGCTCTTGATCTTGTTGGGCCCATAGCCACATGTGTTTCATGTCTTTGAGCTGAGCCCCAATGAAAACCTCCTTGGTGAGTTGGGTGTCCTCATTAGATATAAATATTTAAGAAGTGAATAGTTTTTCTTCAAGCAGACACTGACAGGAGGGTGTTTTATAATTGTATAATTTATGATCTACAGCAAGAATGCAGTAGATCAAATAGTGTGGACATGAAAAGAATTGAGGTAGGGATAGGTGATTTGTATGTACATGACAGAAAACATCAACTTTGGTTAGAGTTTTTTTTTTTTTCATTGTCCTCAAGTTACTTAACTCTTTACACCCTAACATCAGTATCCATATTCTCTCGACTGTTCGCTATACACATCCTAAGCTACTGACAAGGAGAATTTGTTTTAAAATCAAGAGTTTCTTTTTTTGGTGATCATTTTCTCTAATTCTTGTGACTTGTGACCTTAATGTGTGATACTGGGGTGATATTGTACAGAGAAATAAGTTGCTAGTCACTCTCTGAAATTAAATATTATTCACCCTGTGGGTCAAAGGTCAATCAATTGTCCAACGTCAAATCAAAGTTTCTATACAGTATGTGTTTGTGGAATTTGCAGACACAATGTAACATGTAGTCACCACCTGAATGCATTTGAAGGTCTTAGAAATTAGTTATTTTCATGCTAATTTCCCCACAAATTTGCAGGTTTCTGGAAGCATTTTTGAGGAAGTCGTTAAATCTGGCCAAAAATTGAATGTTGCGGATATAGAAAAGGTACGTTGCACAGTGGATTTGCCGTTGCATGGACAACTTCATTTAATCAAAATGATCTAGGAACTTAAATTTGTGCAGCCCCAGTGATATTGCTACAAACTGTTGATATCAAGCCAATTTGAACCCTTTTTTTGCTTAAATTATTTTCCTGAAACCTTTTTAGGACACAAAGTACAGATATGACCTGCAGAGAATAACAGGTAAGTTCTCAAAGCGTTGAACAATAGCTCAATTTTAGCTAGAAAAATTGGATCAAGTATATCTCCATGCACAGTATATCAAGTTGGTTAAAGATTTCTGTAATAAAATTTCCACTTCTTAAGTTTACCGCATGGCCTGGCGGCAACAAGGATATTATGAAGAAAGAAGCAAAACGGAAACAAGGAAAGAAGAACTGAACATAGATCGTTGACTCTGTATTCACTGTAGTGTACCGCATGTTGTTCTTGAATTCTGCATAATTCACACTATCACCTAGAATGAAGCCTGGAGAGAAATTTGTAAAACATACCCTATTATCTTCTACCTCTTTCAAGTATGAAAATGTTGTTCGCATGTTAACCTGAATTCTGCATAATTCACACCATCACCTGTAGTGAAGTCTGGATAGAAACTCCTGAAAGGATACGCTCTTATCTTATACCTCCTTCACATATGAACAAATATCGTGTCTTTAGTTCAAAACTCAATGGCGAAATGCAAAATTCGTGTACATTCGGCTGACAGGTCGCCAGGGATAATTATCATATTCACCAAATCACCTTTGATGAGTTTCTGTTTTTCTCAGATGGCTACGTTCAATCAATGTTGTGTGTCCCAATTGTCAGTATCAACTCAGGCAATGTTATAGCGGTGGCGTGTGTATTCAACAAAACTCTTCCAGAAAAAAGGTACACAATACATCGAAATGTAGACTTTTACGTAATTACAGTCTCCGTTATTGCATTTTTGTCGTTCTAGACTACGAAAAATTTTTTCCTCACTATTTTGAGAAGGTTTAAAGGGAAATTCGTTTTTAAATAGTTAGGTGACTATTCCGCTTTAAGTAAAGCGTTCACAAAACAGAATGTGTAATTGAAAATAAAGAGTAGACTTATGAATATTCCTATATTTTTTTATACGAAGGATTTCTGCTTTATGACTATTTTCAGATTTTCCTCCTTTGATGAAGAAAATGCTCAGTTTTGTTGTGAGCATATTGCAGGTCAAGTAGAAAACACATTGGAGTGGGAGAGAGAAATGGTGATAAAAAGGCAACAAAAGGTGTGATATAGTTATAGTTCCTAAATATCTCAGCTTGCGTTTTCGCGGCCAGCATTGCGTCATGAGCTTTTCTTTGCGTGTAACAAGTTTTTGGCCGTGAGCAAAGCGAGGTGTCTAAAAGTCTGCGAGGGTTCGGGCACTAATGACCATTATTAGTGCCAGACCCCTTCTCAGACATTTCGCCGGCTCACCTCAAACTTTCTCACGGGCGTTGAAACGCTCGTGCCGCAAAAGTTTATTTTAAAATCCCGCCGTCTCTGTACGGACATATGCATCAGTTTCCAATTGGCTGGAATTCTTACAAGCTTTGTGATTTGAAATATACCTACGTAACAGAAAGTCCAATGCTCCGTTACGCTTTGAATAAATCTTTGCCATTGTACGATACCAATGACTGCGCAATGTAAGTCAAAGGGCTGTGTTTAATTCCTCTGTTCGTAATTTGATTGAGAGACACGTAAAACTGCTCCGCACTATGGAATGAACATATACATTAATCTTGTTGTGGTTATTCATGCTCGTATATCTTTAAATAAACAGATATATGTTCATTACAGCTCTGAATTTTTGTAATTCTGTAACTCTACTTGAAGCGAATGAAATTTATTCTCAATTTTTGAAGTGTTTCAAAGATGCAAAACACGCGATCATCCGACTTCGCCAAGATCGACGAATGCAGCTGTGAGTTATACAGTTGACCTCAAAAACATCTTCCACTGAATTCTTTCTTTCCCCTGTGTAAAAAAACTGTTCAAGACTTCCTTTCAATATTTTTTCCCCGAGATGATTGATTTAAAGAGTGAAAACTGTAAAGAAATGACGACAGTTGTAACATTTGTTCTGCTAAAATAACTCCTTGAAAATTAATCTTATAGTCATGCTACATATTCTCACTGAAACCAACGAGACTCGTTGCTATTAGAGAGCTTAGGCACAAACTTGTTTGAGGCTTGCACGGTAGCTGGAATTTGAGAGTTCTTTTTCCTGCACGGGCCTCAGATTTCCGTTTTTTTGGTACCTTTTTGAAACCATTTCAGTTCCAGGAGTAGCAAATAGGAAATATCACTAAACGACTCCCGTTCATTTCCAAGAAGAAAAGCAATGAAAAGAATCCAAATTATCAATCTAGGGTACTGTTTCTCTAACACCAAATTCAAAGGTAACGTTTCTTAGACAGCGCTGAGAATTGATGTTTCGATTTTGGAAGTGAAATGGTTCATGCGCTGAAGCAATGACTCTTTAGTTGATCGGTTTGTGTGAAAGCGTCCCATAAGTAGTTCAGTTCATCTTCTTGAGCTATACTGGCGCGTCTTAAAACGTCTTCGCTATTATCCAATCAGAAATTTCTTCAACGAGAAAAGCCAGTTGAGGGAGCTGGTGAAAGGAAAATGATGGAACGCCTCTAAGAGAGCGAGTAGAGATCTTTATTTGGTTCAGTGGTATTAGGGAAGACATTTGTTAACTCGTTTTTTTTTTTTCTTTCCGACCAGCATTTACTGAAGGTTGCAAAAAACCTGTTTACTCTCGTAGGTGAGCTCAGTTTTTAAATCGTTTGTTGTTTACATTAGTATTTATCTGCTTTGCTGAATTAGATTTGAATCTGAATTGATTTGTTGTGGACGTGTGCCATGCATTTCTTAGTTGGTAGCTTGTGACTGAAAGAGAAAAGCAGAAACAGTTGCGCCCAGCATAAACATCATAGGGTTAAAGGAAGTCAGTTACTCTTTAGCACTTTGTTAACTTTGTTGTCATCGAAGTTTTCAGGGTAACTTCCAATTTCAAGGGAATGGTTTCACTGATAGATCCTCTTAACCCCACCATGGTAGTTTACTCTGCTATAGTTATTCATTTTGTTAGCTCGTAAAAATGGTGTCGTTTTGGATACAAGAAATGATTCCATTCGTGCGCAGCGTCCCTGTGAAGTTCATAACACGACGTTCACACCTCGGGCCTTACACCTGTTACCGCTGTGTGGTTGTTAATTGTACTATCCTTAAGGTAACGCTAATGGACTGATCAGCTCTTCGTTGTATTCTTATTAAAAAGTCTATGAATTATTCTAATTTGCAGACGATGTCAGCGTTTTATTAAGTGAAATCATGACAGAGGCTCGGAATTTGACCAACGCTGAAAGGTAAAATAGATACAGGCTACTTTCTTTTGGCCCTAGTTATCCTTGCTTTCGAAGTCAAGTGATTTGTTTTATTAACTGCTGTCAGACCGCGCATATCTCTTCACCCTGAAGCCTTTTTAGAGAAGACAACCACAGGACCTTAGAGCGCATTTCAATTTGGTGTCCTGAAACCAAAGTAATCACACCACCCAATCAGAGCAAAGCAAAATGTCACCCCGAACCAATAAGAATTCGAAGAATCGAGTGACCAGGTCGCTTTTGGTGTTAGTTTGCATTTAATTTGTTGGGGGGGGGGGGGTGGCGCGACTTTTCTCGACCAATCACAGCGCAGAGCAACGAGAAACCAAAGCAGCCCTGATTGAAAAGTGTTCTAATGAACGTATTAAAGGTGATCGTCAATCTACTTCTCGATTCTCGAAGGTGCTCTCTGTTTCTTTGGGATAAAGAAAGAGATGAACTTGTGGCCAAGGTTTTTGACGGAGAAATCCCCTCAGATGGTTCAGACAATGGAAAGGTTTGTCTAAGCTATTGAAAATTCAAGACCTAGCTTCGAGTTCTCGCACTATTTCTCATGAAGGAGCTTGAAGACAGCAAACATTATCCTGGCTCTCGGTCATGATTTACCGATCCGTTTGCTCCTATCATTCAACATTTAGCGTTTTGAATGGAATTATAAGAAAATAAGTGAACTATGACGGTACATGAGCTACTTGGAATTAATGAGCTTGGTCGCGCAAAGGCCAAAACCTTCATAAAAGTATGCGTTGTTGTATTTGTCTGTTAAGTCGTCGCCTAGGTTAGATTATTTTTATTGTTATTCTACTTTATGAGTAAAGCTCTTACGAACTTCCACCTCCTTCACCTAAGTTAGGAACTATCTGAATAGTGTTTCAATTATGTAGGAACCAGAAGTGAGGATTCCAGTCACCCAGGGCATCGTGGGTCACGTTGCTACAACAGGTACTGCATGAAAACGAGTTTACTGTAACAAATTGTCTGTATGATTTATGTCTTACGGCAAAATATACGTCTTCCAGTTCCGTATCGCGGTTAGTTTACTGGTTTACAACCAAAACAGCATTGATGAAAGGCACAGAGGCAGAGTTCCTGCAGACTATTGAGCTTCTGTTATCCGAAGATAACAGAAGACACAAGTCGCAAATGGACAACAGTTTTCTCTCCGAGTCATTTTATTGAAAACAGCGTGAAAATCAACTTTAAGCAGCGGATGGTGGTAGCGTAGGTAAAGAATGGGGCAATTATATGCGTAACTTGTGTTAATAACAAAACGACTTGTGAACATGGTTCCATTTCTCAAGAGCCGACCTTCTACTTCCAAAATTTACTTACTGCTCTTTTTGTCTCGTTATCAGGGAAGATGCTGAACATAAAAGACGCGTACAGCCATCCTATGTTCTATAAGGGGCTTGATGAGAAAACAGGCTTCAGAACAAGGTAAAGGTTTGTTCTCTTCTTCGCCATAGTATCGGAATGGACTTTTCAGTTCTAGTACTGTTGTGTGTACGACGGCAAGACCCACTCTATTACAACACATGTATGTGGCATTTCCTGTCAACAACAATTTGTTTTTATACATCTATTTTTATAGTTTATTTACAGCTCCAACTGTTAATGTTTATCGCACGTCGTTCATTTGAGTGTTTGTATGTTTCTTCATGTTTAGAAATATTCTCTGCTTTCCGATTAAAGACGAAGAAGGTAAGTCACCCCCTTTTTTTTTTCATGAGAATTGTACAATGGTCTTCTTTTTGTATTGTCAAAATATAATATCCTTTCTTGTCTCATTACAGACGTGATTGGAGTAGCACAGTTGTGCAATAAGACAAATGGTATGTTAACCAAGATTAGAATCAGTTTAAATGTTTTTGGAAGCAACATGAATTATCACTATGAGAAGATACTGGTTTGATTATAGTTGGCAGCGTGACCTTCAATTAATTTCACATATTTTATATAAATTGCAGTAATGTTTTAATGCCAAAGACAATTTTGTAAGCAAGTTTGAGACCATCGAATGATGGGACCATCTGCCGAATATCAACTCGCCTCGCGGAAATGTTTTTTTAACTTCTGAGGTAGTAATAAAGCAAGTTTCCCTTGCAATGATTTGTTTATGATTAAAAGCGCTCTTCTTAAAATCAAAACGCAAAGTTGACATATCAAGTTACCATGAGGAAATTCTTACATGACAGATGTAGATTGTGTTTTCAATACGCGCGATACAAATTTGATGTTTTAGACCCAACAGAAATTCAGCAATCTCATCGAAATATATTTGATACGAATCGACTTTTCTTCCACATTGCAGGTTCTTGTTTTACAAAGTTTGATGAAGATCTGACCAGAGCATTTGCCATTTATTGTGGTGTGAGCATTTTCCATGTAAGTTTCCGACGCAGTGTTTTGCAGTTGTCGTGTTTGATGGTTGTTGTGTTTCCTATCGACTTCAAGCGAAAGCCTATGCAAAACAAAAACAGAGAACAGACACGTAAGCAAGCAATGAACAACAAATAAACAAACAACTAGGTCAGTGCAGTTTGCCTCTGGAAATTAAAAGGCGTGCATTTCTGCATGCATGTGCGGACATGAAACTAACAAACAAAAAACAATAAGAAAAGTTTCGAGAAAAGTTGTCGGAAAAAAGACAAAAAACGCGACAATCTCAAAAGATAACCTGGGTATCCGGTAATTGATGAATTTTAATGATTAAAATATGTAAATGAATTCATCAAACCTGCGATGCTTCGTCCTAACAGTGACGTTTTTACAGATTTTGCTGAAATCCTAAATGCGAGGAACCGTGACCTGAAAACTATCCATAATACCTTTCGGTGTGACGTGCACTTAGACGCGTTTTATTCTGACAACCTTTCTCTAAACAGCTGAATGTGATGAAGCCCACTTTAGTTTCAAAAGATAGCTACTTTTTGATTTAAAGGTAGTTAATTCGGTATCAGTTATCTGCATCGTTTGTTTGTTTGTTCTTAACGTTTTACCCCATTAATAAATTATGTTCACGTAACAGTCTGCCGATCTTAACGTTGCTTTGACATCTTTTTTCAGTCTCTTTTATATAAGAAAGCAAAAGACGCTTCACACAGAAGTCGACTATCGTCTGAAATGATGATTTACCATATGAATGTAAGTTTAGTGATATGAGCAAGGTGTTGAGGTTATTTGTTTTTTGTTGAGAACAAATCATAACCGTGTCTGGTCAGATCGCTTTACTAGCATGTTTTGCTTTTATTTATTACTTGATATGAAGTGACTTATCAAGATTTAATTCTCGTGTTTTCAACCAATTTCGCTTAAGGTGTCTCAAGCCGAAGTGGATCCGCTCGTTAACAGGTCAATTTGCACCACGGATGACGTACATCCACAGTTTAGCCAGTTCCCATGTGCGCCAAGAACTATTTTCCCAGATAATATGATTCCAGTAAGTAGAGCTTGCACTTACCAAACTCATCCTTGGTCATCAACGCTTACAAGGCAAATCTGATGTTTTCTGTCCTGCTCTGTAGGCCTGTCTTTGTATGTTTGAAGATCTTGGAATGATCGAGAGATGGAAAATTCCAAAGGAGGTGCTAGTAAGGTCTGTGTTATAAAGAATTTATTATTTGTGTGTCCTATATAAGGAAGTGGTGTCCCGCATATGACAGTAGGAGACCAAACGTTGCATGCTCATAGAGTTTAAGGTTTGCGGGGTAAACTCAAGGATATGTATTTGAAATTAGAATTTCAATATTTAGTGTAAAAGTGACATCAAATCCAACAAAAATAACAAAGAAATGATAGAGACAAGAATTTTGCCCTTTGGAATTGATGTTGGACATATGACGTGTTATGATTACAGGTTTTTGCTTATGGTGAGGAAAGGTTATAGAAACCCTCCATATCACAACTGGATTCACGCTTTCACCGTGGCTCACTTCTGTTATCTTCTTTACAAGAACGCAAAGATTAGCAATCGCTTAAGGTTAGTCAGTTTCACGTACACTTTGGTGTCTGATGTGTTTGTTCTAATTGGTTAGTTATTCTCACTTCAGGAATGCGTTTAATCTGAACCCCACTTTCTGTGGAACAGATAATATCAGTGACTAATTCTCGTGTAGAAGGTGTTGTAAACTCTCAATAACTCTTCACAAGGGGCTCAACTTTTGTGTCAACAAAGATGTACTTGAGTGATATGCTTACTTGAAAAAAATGGGATTAGTTGTTTGAGGGCTGAAGTTTAATCGCAAGCTTGTCATACATATGTAAACATCTCCATTCTATTTTTTTTTTTTTAATTGTTCGAAATAAATCCAAGACCACCTCAAGCGAGCAGTGCGTTAACAAAGTGATCTGGCTTGTGTCGCTATAGTCAAATTTCTAAAAGAAATCTGAACATCACAATATTTCGAACACGAGCGTTTTGCGCCTGTCGAGTTTCGCCTTTTGAGTTCATTTTTAATGAGAACATGTCAGACTATTTTTTTCTTTTTGTCTTTTTTGTTTTTCCTTATATATGGTATTTTGCTTTCCTTGCATTACAGAGACGTTGAAATGTTGGCATTGTTCGTGGCTTGTCTGTGCCATGATATCGACCACAGGGGGACCACAAATTCCTTCCAGGTTTCTTCAGTAGGTAGACAGTTTTGGTTGTGACAATTCCTGGTCAATGTCTTGGTTTACGATGTTTTCCTTTACTCATACTCAATGGTTATTTTATTTGACAGGGCTCCACGCTCGCAGCCCTGTATAGTTCAAAGGGATCTGTGTTGGAGGTAAGGAACTTCAGTTTAGCCAGTTGAAAAAATTGTCTTCACGCCAGGTTTCCTTCTAGTTCAGTGTGCGATAATCACAGCTGTTCACTGTGTTGGATTTATTAATGTTTAAAACAATTCCGTTTGGTTCCCTCACATTTCCGCAAAAAGGTTACGAAAAACAAACATGTTGTAGCGAGCGTGGAAAGTACAGGTTGAAACCAAACAATTTTGTTCCGGTTTGCGATAGTTAGGCAGATGTTTTGCGCCACAATCCAAACATCGAGTTACTTAGGTCCGCCATTCCTTCACTAAAACATGAGTCAATTGGTCCGTTTCAAGTACTTGTCAATCAGTTGTGCCTGCTCTTGATTACCAGTTTACTGTAGTGAATCTGACTTTATATTATTAAAATAGAATTGGTTTCATAAAATCTCTCTTTCTCTTTCACAGAGACATCATTTTGCGCAGACTATGTGTGTGCTCAACTCTGAAGGATGTAATATATTCAAGAATTTAACTGGAAAAGTATGATACTCAGCAGTAACTTAAAGTTAAGCCCCTTTTGTTGGAAAAAAGTATTTCGCCAAAACTTTTATTTCAGTGTATATTGATTTTCGTGAGCTGTTGTTAAGAGGGCTTAAAGGCAACAGTTGGAAGAACATGCGTCAACTTTTAGGCAGTTCGTTTTAAAAAAGAAAATTATTTTCCGTTAGTTTTTCAGAGTTTATAGAGGATATCGTTCCCCTCAACGATTTAACCCAGGAATCAGTGTTAGCCCTTTTAATACACCCTAAGATCAGTATGCATATTCTCCATACTGTTCTCTGTACATCTCCTAAGTTGCTGACAGGGAGAATTTAATTGGTGACCATTTCATTTATTCTCGTGACCTTAATGTGGGATTCACGGGTGATATTGTAAGGAGACATTGGATGCTAGTCACTCCAGGGTCAAATAGTTGACCAACAGAAGCTTCATTCTCTTGAAGTGCTCATTTGCCCAGTTGAAGCATTTTGCATGTATGGGTAATTTTCAAATGCTTTAATAATTAATTGTAAATCATTTCTATTTAGGACTTTGAAGAAGTTTTTAGTCTTATTCGGGATATTATTCTAGCAACGGACCTTGCCCATCACTTGAAAATCCTTCAAGACATCAAGAACATGGCTAAAGGTAACAACTTAAATTGGCCACCGTAAAGAGTTTCAAAGCTGACGTTTCGCGCATTAGCCCTTCGTCAGAGGGCGAATGACGAAGAGCTGACACTCGAAACGTAAGCTTTGCAACTCTTTACGGTGGCCAATTTACGCTATCAACTCAGTCGATGATACTTGATTACCCACCGACACAGCACCACAGTTCCTTTAGAAACTTATCCCCTTTATTCAAAGGTAACACTGTTTATTTCGTGGGTTTTAAGAAATCCCTTACGTCTCCTTGGAGCGGTATTGCTCTTTAAAAATTGTGACTGGTTTTTGGTATGAAAAAACTGCAAACTGTTGCGATTCACTGAATATGTAGAGTGGATCACCATTCAGCGTTAGAGACTCCATGTACACTCCAAAGTATTAATCGGAAGGTCGTAGGAACAACTCCTTTTTGGAGCATTTGGAGTTTTCTTTCTCTGAGTATGCTTGTGCCATTCGCTGAAAAACATTATCTTCCACTTTATTACCATCTTCAATAACATTATCAAGTAATACTGTTATATCGTTTCTGTTTTTGACTAACTTTTCTTAATATATTTTTCAGATGGTTTTAAAAAAGATTCTAAAGATCACCACACTCTTCTTCTCTATCTTATGATGACAGCCAGTGATTTGTCTGATCAAACTAAGAACTGGGAAGGAACGAGAAGAACGGCGGTAAGCAAACTGGTCAAATGGAAAATTGACAGTTACAATATTGGCCACTTCCCTTTACCTCGTTTTGCGTAGTGTTTATTGCGCTGGTTTCCGAACCTTTCGATCCGATTACGAGCCTTCTTGAGTCTTTGGGGTGTGTTTTTGGGAAAGAGTTCACCGGCTTCTCCTGTAGGATTGTTAATGGCCTCTAAGCCAACTGTCAGTGGCAATTTTACACAGCTCCTTCACGTGAGGTTTAAAATGCTTTCTGTAAAATCTATCGTAAATTTCTATGGGTATGTTTGAGTGAAATCCTATCTATCTGGCCAGCTTTATTCATTTACCTCGGCATTGACATTTAATGGAAAAGCGGTGTACTCACCTCTTTAAACGATTTTAATGGTAGTTGACGCTAAGAAGGACGTCCTTGCTGTCTTGTCTATGGCAGCGCTTTCCAGTGCTATGGTCATGCGGCAAATGTAACACAGAGACGATCTTTCAAATTTTATTGTGACATCTATTAAATGTTGCTTGTTGGCCTCCATTACAGGATCTGATATACACAGAGTTCTTTTCACAAGGTGACAAGGTAAGGAATGAATGATAAAAGTTCAATCAACAGAGTGAATTTTAAACGGAGTCACATAGTGGGCCCTTTTTTTTTCACCTCAACCCTTTAACCCTCAGAAGTAATTAGTATATAAGTTCTCCGTACCATATCCACACACTATCCTGCAAACAGGTAATGAGAATACTCGACCTCATCAGGTAGAAGTTGATATCTTTATCTAACACCAAATTCTTGTACTTAATTTACAAGGAAATGTGTAGCAGCTAGAGGGGCGAATTGACAATCAGGTCTCGGGAGTTACAGGGTTAAAGGCTTCTTGTACTGTTAAGGCTTGTACTGCTACACGTACTAAAGTTTTAAAAGAAACCGTGACCACAGAGCTAAGTTTTTTTATATTCATATTTCTTTTTTTCTGGTTTTGCTTCCTCTGCCAGAATTCATTAAAAATATCTCACATATTTTTTGTTGTGTTTGGTGATTGGGTTTTTTTGTTTGCTTTTGTTTTTGTTTCATTTTAGGAAAAGCACATGGGAATTACTCCAAGCGAAATGATGGACAGAGATAGAGCGTGTATTCCAAAATTGCAAATCGATTTCTTGGATGCAATCGCACTTCCAGTATACAGGTAGTTACATTTCAATGTAGTTATGCAGCTGTGTGAATGGAATCGGTCGTAGGACGTGAGTTTTACTTACCGAACTGCTGTCATGTTTGGCGGATAAGTTCGAATCTGGTAAATAAGCCTATCAGAAAAAACAAAGAAACAAACAGATACCACTACATTGCTCAACGGGTAGCTTGTGATTGGATGAATGAGTTTATTGCCTTCTAAATAATTTATGTCCTCCGCCTGTCTTCTGCTCAGACGTGCTATCTGCTCGTTATACAACAACTTGTTAACACATGTATTGAATCTATTACCATTGCTGACACCGTCATTAAACCTTTAGAAAGCGTTCGGAACCTTGGGTCCTAGTTCAACGCGAATGACTGTTCATATAGGCAAGATTTGTGGCACGGCTTTTCGCGGACTATACAACAAAAGACACATCAGAAAATTCCTTACCGTGCAATCGACAGAGACACCGATCCATGCCTTTGTATCTTCGCACCCTGATAAATGTAACGCACTTCTTTTTGGTCTTCCTAAATATCAATTTGATCGTTTACAGAAAGTTCATAATGCTGCAGATAGAGTGTTTTTTCAGATTGCTAAATTTGATCATATCACACCCGCACTTATCGGCCTACATCGGCTCCCAGCAACATTCAGCGTTCAGTTCAGATTGCTTCTTTTTGTTTATAAGTCGCTGCACAACCAAATTCCACTCTACATTAAAGATCTTTTGTCCCTGAAACCTGCCGCTAATTATGCTCTTCGCTCGTCTGTACAATCTCTCCTGTTCGTGCCTAAAATCAAATGCTTTACACGTGGGGACTAGGCCATTGCTCATGTTGCACCTGTTTTATGGAACTCGCTGCCATTAACTATAAGAACAAGTGGTAGCCTCACAATTTTTAAAAAGCATCTTAAAACATTTCTCTTTAGGGAAAGTTTATAGTTTATTAGAATAGCTCTGAATGTTTAGTGCTTTGAATATGTTGATTTTAATTTTGTATTGAATTTTAGACTTTCATGTCTTTTTTTTTTAGATTTTAGCTTTACTATAATTACTGTTATTACTAGCTTCTTAGGAATTTTAATCTAACTTGAAGTAAAGCGCTTTTGAATATTTTAGTGTTAGCGCTATACAAATTCTTTAATAATAATAAAATTATGTCTCCAAGTTGCAATTGCCGTTATTTTTTAACCTGATTTTAAGCCAACTGCGATTTTGAGACGCCAGTATTGCATGATTACGGGGGCTCGTTGGGAGAAAATATTTTCTGTTGTAAGGTGGAGTCGCGAGACGTAATACGAAAATAAATTTTCGTCCCTTCCCCTAACTTGCTTTTGTTCTTCCTATTTTGTTTATTTATTTATTTTTTCTAATAATTTCTTTTCTTTTTTTTTTGTCCATATCCAGGCTGTTGTCCTCTCTACTACCGGAGACTGAAGTAGTTTTAGACACAGTTTTGACCAACAGAGAGAAATGGCAAAAGGCTCAAGAAGATGGCGACTACGTGTACAGACCAGTGGCTACTACTGACAAAGAAATCAATGGGAATGTGCCTCTATCACCATCATAACGGTGCCACAACTCGCTCTTCCGATTGAACAATTCATGGAACAAATTATAGTAGGAAACCGCTCTACGACAAACCTTTGGGACGTCTTTGTTGGCACTTAAACTCGATAACATACATATTTTTGTATGAAGAGCGGGTTGAAACTTTGCCTAAAAGAGTTGGCCATTGCGGTATCGGATGCATCATTGTCCTTGAGTAATTACGGCGCTGGTGTATTGCCTTCATTGAGAAATGTTTTCTAATATTGAATTTCTCCTAGAAGCAAGAGAAATAACGGGTTCAAATGCCTAGGTTGGCTGTCAGTGATAACTCAGAGCTGCGCTCTGTGTATTGGAAGGCTATGCTATCAGATACCTGAGATGCCCAAGTAAGGCAATAGATACGAAAAGTAATGACCTCTGGTACCCGAACAACTGAAACTCAACTGTATTTATCATTTAATATCCAGAGGTCATTTCTTTAAAAGGCATTTAGGCATAAATTATATTTATTATGTGGCTAAAATTACTACAAACCACATTTTTTTCCTCAGAGTGCTCTTAATAGTGACGTGGGTCACAGTTTCTTTCACGGCCGCTTTTTTTTCATCAGACGTTTTTATAATTCAGGGATCCATCTATGAATAACTGACATGAACGTAAAAAGAGAATAAAATTAGGACAAATCCTAAGAGCGAATCACAGTAAACTCAAGTTCACAGTGTAAGACCCAATTTTTGCCATTTACAATTTGGCAAACTGCTAAGTAGGTTCCTGTGGGTTGTTGTTTGATTTCGATGCCAAATCCGCAGATCCTTAAACATATTCTCCTTCCTGTTGGAGTGATTTCCATACGAAAGCGATGAAAAACGATGGGAAAAAAACATGTAGGGCAGCCGTCTATTTTCGGCGATGTTTATTTACCCGTTTATTTTGCTTTATTTAGCTTTATTTGGTTGGATGTAATAACTGTTAAATGCATGTTTTTGATAAAATTATTTATGTTAGAGCAAGCCTTAACAGATGCAGCCACGTTTTATTTTCATACTGTAGAGCAGCTACTCCAAATACTGAGAAATTTTCTCCTAGTTGGCGAGCTGAAACATTTCTTTCACAACATTCATCAGTCGTTTAGTAGGTTATCTCTTTGACGAATTACTTTAAAACTGTAATACGATGGAAAAGATTTCCTTCTAAGCCGAGATTTTAAGCACATAAAATTTCACAACGATTTAGAAATATAATATATTATAGAGTTTCAATCAACAACTTTATGATCTCGTTTTTGAGGGACTGTTGATCAGATTTATTCACAAAGTTTAGCAATCGTTGCTTTTGAGAGGCGAAATATTTCAAGGGCAGTTCATCTGAAAGGTAGCGTTCAAAATAATTTGCAATTTTTTTTAGGTGAGGAATTAACGCTTACGTTGTACAATGGGTATTTTTCTTGTTACGTGCTCTTTACACACTTAATGAGCATCCTTTGATTGCAATGTTAAAAATAGCATTCTTTGAATGTTAATTCAGTTCCGACTTTAAGTTAAAGATTGCACAAAACGTAAGATAGGTATTTATTTAAAGGAAAGGCGCAAATTGCCAGATATGTAAATTTGTTATGAATACACAATATTATGGTTAGTATAAGTTTACAAAGCTGGACAAACAGTATTATAACTAGCTAGTAAATTTGTCCAATCAAATTCAATTGCGCTAGCGTGCTTCATATTCCTATTTTGCACGCTCATGACGTAAGCAAACAAATCCCTCAAGAAAAAAATTTTCCATCGGGTTGAAAGTGTTATAAAACAGTTGGTTCATGCGTCAGCTGTGCGTTCGTCGAGATATGAAGCACTTGGGAAGTTTGGAGAGCACTCAAGAAGCTAGAGTTGTTCTCGCTACGCCTCGAGCAACTCTTACGCATCTTTCGTGCTCTCCACACTTCCCGCGTGCTTCATATCTCGATGAACGCACGCTGACGTATGAACCAATTG